GGGGGGATCCGCCGCGGGGGGAAGTCCCTGCTGCTGGTGGTCCGGAGGGGGTGCACGGTGGCGCCGAGCATGCAGCCGTCGTAGTGGTGTCGATGGAGTGAAGGGGGAGGGGGAAGAGAAGCTGAGAGAGAGAGAGAGAGAGAGAGAGAGAGAGAGAGAGAGAGAGACTTGGAAATAAATGTGTGTGTTTTGGCGCTGTCCACAAGGAGGTCGCGGGTTCGTTAGCTGGTTGGCCGGTCTTGCCCACGCAGGGGGGGGGGGTGAATGGGGTTGTACGGGAGAGCAGCTTGGGGATGGCCTTATTGGTGAAACAAGAAGGAGGAAGGGGTGAGAGAACTACTTGCGATAAGAAGTAGTAGTTGGGGTCGTTCACAACCCGCAGACCCGTAGAAAACTAACTGACAAAGGCGACGGCTCTGCTCTCGGCGGCGTCTCCACAGGGGAAACTGTTTCTGCGCGCGCCTCGCTTCGGGGCCTGGCGGAGGCCTGGCGGCGTGGACATCTGATAGGAATTAATTTTTATTTATGTCGTCCATTTTTTTTTCATTTTTTTAACGCATGTTGATTTTGATGAGCAAGGTTACCGTGCTTTTGCGCGCGCGCACGCACGCACACACACACACACACACACACACACACACACACACACACACACACACACACCGAGCTGTTTGGTGTTGGTCTTTGATGTTCCTCCCGGGGTCTCTGCTGGTCCAGGTGATGAGGTGCCCCAGGGCGCCGCCCCGCCCCCGCCGAGGTACGTGGTGAGTGCGGTGAGCGCGGTGAGCGTGGTGAACCGGGCAGTGAGCGTGTTTGCCCGACAAGGAACTATACGTAGCGGATCATACTGTAGTAGAATTTGCGGTGGAAGCTCCATACCGTCGGAGAGGAATTTGACGGAACTCTACAGCGATTGATAGAGCAGCTTTAGACTTGGGTCCCGCTTGGGTTCCATATCTTTTTCTTCTGACCGTTTTACTCCCCCACTTTACCCATTCTTTTGGACGGAATCTTTAACACCAGGCAGATGATCTCTCCTACTCTGCACGTGGGGCGGTGCATCAAAATAAGGTTAAAAATTTCCGAAAAAAGAGCGGAAAACTTCTAAAGTCTGGGACATTTTTCATTTTTTCCCGGAAACCTTCGATCTTCCCAAAATTTTCCCGAAATTTTCCGTTCTTTCCAAATTTTTTCCGAAATTTTCCCGAAATTTTACGGAACCTTTTTAGGGCTTCCAACACTATATCAAAACGATAAAAACTGTGGAAAAGCAGTTTTAACACACACAAAAAAGATACCAGAATTTGAAGTACAAGGTCGATTACGAAAATGATTGCAGTCGGATTTCTTGCAGTGTGGTGCGTCCACGGCCACGCATCATAGGGCCGGCTATGTATTGGCTGGCAACAGCAAATAAAAATAAATCGTTTCTCTTCTCCCTCTCGCGTTGTCGTCGTTTTTGCCAAAAGAAAAGTAATAAACAAGGATCGGAAAATGATTGGCAAAAGCCAGCGTGACGGACGGTAATGAGTGCAAAAAAGTTTCTTTATTCCTTTTTTGCACGTCTGGATCGCTAGTTAGCTCCCTCCCCCCCCCCTCCCCCCTTCCGCCTCTCTCAGCGCCACTCGTCCGAGCAACACGCAGCGCTCAAATCAATTTTCC